TCGTGTTACTAGAGCGAGCAGAAGGCAGGGAATATAAACCAGGTTTTACATAAACCATGTGTGGGAGGAGGACAGAGGCAGCATACAGTCTCCCATCAGTTGCTGTAAAAGAAATCCAAAATATTGATAACTGTGTCAATATACCGTAGTCACGAACTTTGTAATTTTATTTTTGCTCTCAGAACATGGTTATTTTATTGCAAATCTGCCATTTATTATTTCAGACACGACAATCCGGAACGAGTGCCCAGATGATGAGGATATTCTGATTTTAGATGTTGATGAGGAGCTTCTATTGGAAATGGATATATTATTGAAGAACATGACATTGTGATTTTGTTTTTAAATGTAGTTTGATATCTTTAATGAACAAATATTGATTATATTTTGATTATTTTAAGTTAATAAATCTTGAATGTAGTTTGATTATTTGTAATTGATAAATCTAGTTGTATTTTGATTTCTTTAAATGAATAAATATTGACTGTAGTTTGATTATTTGAAATTAATAAATCTAGTTGTTATATAAACAGAAAACAAGAGTCCATTATTTTTTTAGAACACTCAGATGTGTCAGTTGTATGATTAAGAAAAATGTTTCCCATATGCTTAATTAGTTGAGCACTATGCCACAGAGATGTATGAGGCCATGGAGGTGTAGTTCCACCATTCTTGACCATGGCACTAGATGGAGGTGAGTGGTCACCTTCACTCCCCTCCTGATTTATCCCCAGTACAGGCTGGATAGGAGGCCAAGATGGGGGCTTCGCAAACTGTTGCTTATCAGAATGAGAATTGTTTTAAAAAATACAGAACCACTGTGGTGCACTGGCAGCATTGCTAACTAGAAGCATCCTTGCCCCTGTCGGGAACCGACTGACTCTGATTTCTTTTGTAATAAAGTTAAAATTACCCCAAGCACAACTTTCATCACAAGCATTTTAGATCACTTTTTGGTCATGGCAACAACACATGGTTATCGTCTGGAAAACGGATGAAATTAAAATATTCAAAATGGAAAAGAAGTTCACGCTGTTCATTAGAATTAAAAGCAACTAGCAAGACTTAGATGAAGGAGTCATTATATTAGTTTGTTTCCTTGAGAATATACCTGTCTTTTGTCTGGAATAAAATAAGCTTTCTTTGTTATTTCACAATATTAGCTGAAACTTCAAAGGAACACCAAGCTATGGAATTAAAATATACTCATGTAATTAGAAGATATGTGGTGAGTGAGTATTTGATACTGCAAAGCATGGATATATCCTGTATGTTATCTTTTTTCTTTTTGGTAGGGTTCAGGGGAAGAATAGTAAGTCACTACTTTGCCCCCCAGAGTTTGCCTGCAAAAGAGGTTTACTACCTGAACTTCCATTCTTCAGAGATATTAAAAAATTGGAATATTCGTAGAAATCAGTATGAATAACTCAGTGTCAGTGTGATGGAAGAAATAGCAGGAGGTACGTATGTTTCGTGTCGAGCTACCAGACATACCAGATACATATGAGTATACCTTTGGTTGGCAGTGTTGCTTTCATATCTTTACCTAATATGCATGTGGCTTCCATTGTCATAAGGAAGTACAAAAAACACATTATAGACTTGAAGTGATATTTTTCACATAATGATGTATCATGTAAGAGAAAATGATGAAGATGTCTGAATTTGTAATGGAAATATGATGACTGTACTAAAGCATTTCACATACATACTATATTTGCCTCTACCTGTTCCCTGTTATAATTAAGATGATTAAGTATTTATCATTGTTATGTTTTAGTTGAGCTTCATTATATATTTCTGGGAAGTATGAATCTATTTTTAGTCCTTCAGGCCACATTTTGGAAATTAATAAACCTAGGAGAGTGCTGCTTTCGGTGGCACTGTGTCACCCTTATGTGAAATGAGTGACGCCTAGGACTAGATTTTGAAATAAGGGGGCTGGTGGAAGCATTGTTTTATTGTTTACAGATATTGGCAATGGAGGATGTTCACACCAGTTCATGAATGATGACAGCGCTCAGTTGTTCTTCTCCATCATTACAGTTAACAGGAATAGTATCAGAGGGATCAGAGCTATCAGTTCCCAAGACCTTTGACCTACACCCACAAGCACAAGATTGCTGATTTCAATGAGTTGAACCAACTGGCTAGCCAATTAAAACCAGGGTATTGTACCGATCTGCTTGGCAACTGGGCGATCAGTCAACCAATGAATGCGACTCCCATGTAGGAAAACAATAAACAATTCACTATATGAAATATACTACTGTAATTCCGTTTTGTTCTATAAATACATATAATGAGGTCTGGTTTTAGCATCCAAGGCCATCGGTGAGCACTGAAGTTCCTAGCTGTGTTTTGTCATGATCATTGAAAGACATATATACTTGAAATCAAATCAGAACAAAGTTTTATGAGATTTGGAATTTTGCACTGAAAATGTATATTTGTGCTTTTCGCGATTCTGTGGTAAATGAGAATTGAGAAAATCACAAACCCAAAGGTTCATTATCGTGTTGACAAGAGCCCTCCACTGGTCCCTCTCCTGAGCCAGATCAATCTGATCAGTACCATCCCAACCTATCTCTCTAAGATCCATTTCAATATTGTCCAACCACCTATGCCTTGGTCTTCCCAGTGGTTTCTCTCCTTCTGGCTTTCCCACCAATTTCCTATACGCATTCCTCGTCTCCCGCATTCGTGCTACATGGCCTGCCCACCTGTTGGCTTTGTGGAAGCAAGTACCTAAGTTGGAGAGCATTCCAGTGGAAGAAGTTCATCTCTGAATGAGGATGATCTTGTAGCCAACCTGCAATGCTTAAGCATCGACGTCAGTGTTTCTCTGAAGGGTGATGTGGGGGGGGCAAGGTGCATGGCTCCTTGGCTCATGCTGGTAAAGTCAAAGGTCAGACCCCCCCCCAGGTTGGAAGAGTAATAAATCTTAAGGTAATAAAAATGCAAATCATGTGTTTCATTCTTCAGATGTATTGCATCATTCAGAGTTTCATTAGTAGACTTTCTTTTGTCAGTGATCTTCAAGTGAGCTTGTGCTTGAGTGTGTATGACAAATAACAGTTTGCAGCATTTCAGTAAACCTTATTGACATTCTCCAGTGCCACGTATATCAGGAAGGCACATAATCTGTCTTTGTGTAATTACATCATGCACCTTCGCCAGCCTTTTTGTTAAATGTGTACAGTCTGTGGTTATCCACATTCACAATGACATGTATATATACCTTGGTCTGTACTCACACTAATATAATAATTTTACATTTGTGTTTTTCAGGTGGACAAACAAGAGGAGGAGGAGGAGGAGGAGGAGGAGAAGAAGAAGAAGACTGGCCGTGCTAAGCGAAGTGTGCAGTACAGTCCCCAGTTTGTGAATGTTGTGCAAGGATTTGGCTGCAGGAGTGGACTTAATGCAAATTCATAAGTGAATAATTTTGAAATGAATGTTTGTTTGAGATCAGAA